TCAGTCCCCTTCCCATGCTCAACCTCTGCCAGACTCAGTCTCTGAATTAGATAACTGGAAGCCACCAGAAATCCAGCCCTTTCAAAAAGCAACAGAGAAAACCACAGTTCCTGGACAGCCATGCCCACCATCATCCAGGACCAAATTTAGCACCAGCCAAGGTGCTCACGTTTTAAATCCCATCTGATGGAAGAAAGGTTACCACAACAGAATGTCAAGTTCGAAGATAGAATCCTCCTTTTAACAGAAGAGTTTTTTTAAAAAAGAAGAAGGAGAAAGAAAGAAAAAGGAAGGAAAAAAAAAGAAAAAGCACCACCACCATCAGAAAACCTGTTCCCTCTGGTCAAAATAACACCGTGCTCATCTGAAACAACCCACTGAGATGCTTATTTGCTTCTTTAGGCTTGTCCGTGGTTTCTCGATTTTCTACAGTGAATTCAGGTATTAATAGAAGAAACTTCGAGACCTCCAACAGCAAAAGCGGTCAGGGATGAGACACTGCTCGTTTTTCTTCCAGCACTCAAAGAGAGAGCCCATCTTCGGGAAGCCATTTCTGTCGAGTTGAGAATCCAGAATTTGGGGATGCCCAGAAAAGACTGCTGGGTTCTTTAAATAAATTCTCAACACCTGTTTCTAGCTCCTTCTGCAAAAAAGGCCCACAGGGTGTGGCTTCCAATGAATTGGAGAGGCAGATGGAATAGGGTCACCCACTGGTTGGACTTGGAAGGGTCCAGGGGGCTGACCGATGGTTTGGTCGTCGTATTCACAGAGCTGCTGCTAGAAATCTCCTCTCACCCCCTCTGCCTCCCACCTCTCCCTTTCCTACCCCTCCAACCTCCCACAGCCCTTGCCCAATGCCAGCCATCGCATGGACCTAGGCCTGGGCCACGCCAAGCCTGGTCTGCTCGTGCTCCCCACCCCGGCAGCAATTCTATTACAGCAAAGTTTCCAAAGTTAGGATTCCGCCAACAGGGCTGATAGCTTATTTACTGCTGTCATCTAAAGAAAGAGGAATTTTGACACATTGTTAAATGATAGCACATTTAGATAAGTCAAGCTGTCAGAGGCTCTAATGGATGTCTAAACTCTCTGTGGCTGATATGTAAAACTTATGCACTTCAGAATATCATAAGGTTATAATATTTTAATCACATCCACGCTCTTTTCTAAACTTTGAGCAGGGAAAAACATTCCATCAAGTCCCATCTCCCAGGCGCCAAGAAACTGAGCCTTCCCAGAAGTTTCTCCAAACTCCTTACAAAAAGTCCAGCTTCTCTCACTCGACCCGTCAGTCTTCCTCCCTAAATGTTCACACCCCAAGCGGAATTCGTACTGTATGATCCCTCCACCCAACCTCTTTCCTCCCAAGAAACGTAGATGTGCATTCGGACTGGGCACCAACTCTTGTTAACCCTCTTCGAAGACAAAAAAAAAAGATATCACAGGAGACTGGACCCAGAGCATCATTAAAAAAGTGGCAAAGTGAAGCAGAAAAAGAAAATCACAAAGGTATGAATCCAGTTATGACGATTATACACAGAAAAGCCATAAAAAAATACTGCATTAGTAATGTTCACCATAAAGCAATCTTATAACCAAATGAAATATGCCTAGCATCAACTCTGAGATAGATTTTTTTTTTCTTCTCGTTTCCTGGACTGCTAGCAGCAGAGGAAAAAAAAAAAAGAAAAAAAGAACAAGCAGAGAAAGGGGGAAGCAGTTTCAGGGATCCTGGAGTAGGGTACCAAATGTCACAGCATCTTTACCATCATCAGCCCTCAAGTCATTAAGACTGCTGACTGACTTCCATCCTAGGAAAACAGCCCCGCTGTGTCCAGAGATGGCACTGGAAGAAATAATAACCGGACTGCTTCTATATTTGAAAAATGTATACTTCCGGAGGGCTGTGCGCAGGCTGGTACAAGGTCACCTTTCTTGCCAGGATCAGGGTGGCGTCAGCAGCATGGTCTGGCCTGGGGACACAGGCCTCCTTTGCTGCCTCGGCCACTTTAACACTCAGCAACTAGGCTGCATGAAACCACTGAATTGAAGCCACACACCTCACACTTACAAGCAGCTGGGCCACGTGAAGAGTGGGCCCAAAGCTCTTGGCCTGCACAGGGCCTGTGGTGGGGACCCACCTTTCCTACCCAGATCTTGGAACGAGCCGGCTGAAGTTTTCCTTTCTGGCTGTCTCCCAGAGGTGAGGAAAGTGGGAAGGGAAAAAAATGAAAATAAAAGTATGGCATAGAAGTCATTAGCATTATGCACAAGAGATGATCCCAGGCAAAAGTGCTTAGGCTCATAATCTGTTTCCGACAAAATGCCATCAGTGAGAATACGGGGGGGTTGCGGGGGGAGGTGTTGGCCTACCGGGCAGGGGAACAACTGAACATTTCAGGACAAGGGTGGGGACCACAGCAGATGTGAGGGCCTCAATGTTTACACTCGGCCACCGCTGCCACATTTACCTCTCTGCTCTCTAAAAGTGTGCAGCTTTTCAAACTCCCACAGGGACCCCCCCACACACTTAATATCCATGTAAATGAGCTTAACCCCTTCCCCAGAGCCTTCTCCTTTCGTGCCAGACACACCAGCCATTGTCTTAATGAACACACCCACCCCTCCCACACCCTATGTATACACCCTGTGCAGGGAGACGTCTTGGCCCTGTATCCCCATCACCTGAATGAGGCTCTCCACCATCCCCACCTTCATCCTTTCCAGTTCAAATTTGCTTTTCCACCTCAGCATCTTCTAAAACCCTAACAAAGGGTTCTCAGATCAATGACAGTCCAACTGGAATCAAGATTTGGGTGACCCCAACAGCTCCACAAAAGACCCCTGAGCCCAAGAAGGAAAAGAGTGAGGTTCAACACCCCCTCCACTCCAGCTCAGAAATCAGCCCCCTGGGAGCCGCACCCACCCCTCAGCATCCAGCCCCAGGTCTCACTCTACCTCCCGGTTGCAGCCCAAGCTCCCCGGATTGAAAACGAGTTATCTAATGAAAATTGTGTTAACTGACATTCTGGCCAACCGGGAGCAAATACCAGCGCTGCAAATCTCGCCGCGGAAATTTTCTCCAGCCCAGAATAACAATAGGACCCTGCAAAGGGCTTTCACCAGCCCTTCTGGTTCCTCTTCTCTCATCTGCCACGTTCTTGTCATTCCTTATGTTACAGAACATCAATCATAAATAAAGACGCTGTCCCCCAGCCGTGCCCGGGTCTCATTTACAAACATTAGCAGGGAATACAATTACCATTGGCCTTCGTGCCAAGCCCAATGTGGCTGCCCAACTCTCTCTCTCCCGTTCGCTCCCTCTCTCCCTCTCTCTCTCTCCCCCCATCCCCCACTCTTCCAGAAAGGCCACTTTAGCATCATTTAAACCAGCAAGCACAGCTCACAGCCCTGCCCGCCTCAGCTGGCCACCAAACTGTAGCCCCAACTCGAGTGACGACCTGGAATTGCAAGGCACTCGCAGTTATTAACTGCATGCCTGAGTGCCCCGATTTTCTCTCCAGCTCAATGGTTTTGAGGGAGGGGGCCTGCAGGGAGTGAGAAGTTAGGAAGGAGGGGCGTTGGGAAGCCACCAGAAGGGGGTACTGTAACTACTTATCAGAAGAAACTTGACGAGATTTGCAGGCGGATTAAAAAAACAAAACAACAAAAAAAGTGGGTCCATTTTTATCTCCAGACTGATGCTCTCCCTTCTTCTGAGAATGTCAAGGCCAAGGCAGGATGCTTTAATCGCCCGTTATCAGCACCACTTCCCCGCCCCTTGTTCCCACCGCACCTTGGTGAGACTCCTGAGTTTGGGGGGCTTGTCTGGAGCATCCTGGGGCACCTGGGAAAGGACAGAGGCTAGCGCTGTGCCTCCAGCGCGCAGCTCTCTGAGATTCCACCCCCCAGCTCGGCCTCCTATTGGGTCAGCAGAGAATACCCCCAAATCTGGAGGAGACAGACTCCCAGAAAAAGGTGGAATGGGGATAAAGTGCCGGAGTTTGGGAGGGAGTCACCCTAGGGAGGAAGAGGGAAAGGAGAGAGAGAAAGAAAGAAGAGTCTGGAGAAAGGAGAAAAGAGAGGAGTGTCGGGGAGGAAAAGCAGGAGGTAGAAGGCAGCGAGGGAATTTCCCATTTAAAAGTTCCCATGGGCCCGAGAGCCCGGAGTCACCTGCTCTGCTCCGCTCCCGGTTCTCCAAGGCCCCCGAGGCAGGAGCGCAAACTTGCGCGCGCCCCGGGCCCATCTCCACCGCCCGTCCCCATCTAGACTTGGAAAGAGGTCGGAAGCGGGAATAAGACAAGAAGCAAAGACGAACCCCTAGAACCCGGCCCAAGGAGAGGTCTGCCGGTGTAGGCGGCCAGTCCAGCGATGGTGGCTGTAGCGGCTGGGGCGGCAGCAGCGGCCCCCGGGTGGCTGCGCGTCCGGGCTGCGCAGCCAGGCGGGCGGTGGAGGTGCCGGCGGGCGACGGGGCGCGGAGCCGCCTCCTCGCCAACCCCGGATGCCTCCCCCCCCCCTCCTCCTCCTCCCAGCCAGCCAGCTCCCTCCCTCCCTCGCCCGAACCCGAGCCGGGCGCGGACAGGCACTGGGCGCGCTCCGCGGCCTCCCCGGGCGCCGCGAAGTTGGGAGGCGCGCAAAGTGCGGCGCAAGGGGGGTTGCCGGTGGTCCCGCCGGCAGCCCCCTGCCTGGGACCGCAGACCCTGCCTTCCCCGTGCCTCACTCCGCCGCTCGCCCGCCGCCTCGATCCCCGGGCCGTGGCCTCGCTAGCGCTTCTCCACGGTCGCGGCGGCTAATCGATGACTGAACCGAACAAAGAGCAGCGGCGAGATCAATTCCTAATACCTATCGATGGGCAGCGGGCAGTCGAGCCCCGGCGAGCCCCAGCAGCCGCCGCCCGCCTCCCTGGGGCGCCCGACCGCCCTCCCGGGTACCTCCCCAGTGCGCCCAGGGCGCGCCCGAGGGTTCCCCACGGCCGCGCGGCCAGTGCTGCCCGCACTAACCTGGAGTCGCCGTAGATCAAATCGCTTCCAATATTGAAACATCGATCCCACATTGGCGGCCATCTTGGGGGCTATTCGAGACGCACACACACAAGAGTTTGGCTTTTCTCAATGGCTGCACTCAATATCCGGGCTGGACTCCCCCCAGCCCCGGGGCCGCCGCCGGCCGCCCGGGCCCAGCGCGCCGCCGCTCGGGGCTCCTCGGGCGCCCCACGGCCTCCTGCCACCCGCAGCCCCTCGGCGCCGCCGCGCCGCCGCCGCCGGGCCCGGGAGCCGTGCGCCCCCCCGACCCCCGGAGGGCGCGGGAGGAGCGCGCGGGGCGGGGAGCTCCGTGCCCGCCGGGGGGAGGCGGCCGGGGATGGGATGGGAGGGGAGGGGGGGGAGGCAGTCTCTCCAAGAGGCGCTGGCGCCGCCGCTGCCCTGCCTGCAGCCGGCTCCCGGGCCCGCGGAGCGCTCGCTGCATCTCCCCCCCAAGTCCGGGGTCGGTGTGCCGCGCGATTGCACTTGACTTTGGCTTTTTGCAAACTTATCAATACAGACGTAACGTGCTGATCAATGCAAAGGGAAGTTTGGGGGGGGGGGCAGCAGGAGGCCGGCGCGTGGGGCGCCTACCCCCGCCTAGCACCTGTCTATCCCCCATCCCCGGCATTGCATACTTAAAAAAAAAGTTAATAGTTTGCAATGCATTTTTTTTCTTCTGCAATCGGAGCACACACAACACGTGCCTCGGGCTGCCGCCGCTCCTCCGCCAGCTAAGCTTCGCATCCGAGGGTAGGAGCCCGCAGCTCGAGCTGTGTAGACTCGCCGGCCGGCGGGCTTATGGGAGCCGGCCAGAGGGCGGGTGGTAGCTGCCCGGGGGCGCCACTGAGTTGTGGGAAATGTCACCACTGCCGCGCGCAGTTTCCACGCCATGATACTGTTACGATTATTACTGCAGAGCGGTGTCTTGGCCATAGCACTGGTTTTTTTCCTGGGGTCCTCTGCAATAGGGATTCTTGTTATTGTTATTATTTTCGGGAGCCTTTAGTCCAATTACAGGGGCTCCTCACAACTTTAGAATGGGAGGCCGTTTTATTGTTATGATAATTAAAGAGGGTTACCAAACCTCTTGAGCCCTTTTCCACGCAGTGGGTTGGCTTTTATTGTTATGATATGTTGAGGGGGCCCTAGCCCAGCTCCGGATCATTAACAACTACAGAGGTTTCTGCTATTGTTACCATCATTATTCAGGGGTCCTTAGCCTAGCTGGGGACCCCAGGTCCTTTGCAGTATGGGCCTCCTTTATTATGACTGTCTTTAGCCCAGCTAGAGGGAAATTCTGGTCTTTTGCAATTTCTCGGACGCTGGACAATAGAGGTGGCTAGATTCCTTTTACATTTTCCCTCTTTTTGCCTCTGTGCAAGTGAGAGGTCCCCAGTCTCTTCCCAACGTCCTACCCACCCCCACCCCCAGGAGGAACTCAGACCTCCCAACCCCCTCCATAACTAACACTTCTCCTGACCCTAGGGTCACTCTCCCTCTCTGGCATGTCCCCCTGCCAAATCCCACCCCAAAAGGGGGCATTTCCCCCCTTTTGCTCTGGGCAAAAGATATGCTTTTATAGACAGCAATCGGAAATTATATTCTCTTTTTATGACCCAGCTTGGACTTCTGACATCACTCTTGGTCTGGGACAATAGATCAATACAGAGGGTTATAAAAAAGATAAAGTTTAGAAGAGTTGTAAAGAAGAAAGAATCGTGATGGATATTTTTGATGATTTTTCAATATCTGTGTCTTGGAACACGTGCTTCAAGGCAATTAAAGTTTTTAATGTAATGTAAATAATTGTTTCATAAATGCTTCAGAAGAAGGTGTGATCTTTCCGAGCAACCACTCGAGCTGTTTAAAAAACATGTGATTTAAACAAGGATACAGTATTTCTGTTACCATCCCCATACATCTTCCATGAGGCCTGGGTAAATATATTAATGCACAAGTTGAAAGACTCTTAAGGCCAAAAGTACAGCATTCACCAAGATGTAATGAATTAGGCCTAGTTAGCAATTCCGAGTGGCCTGTTTCCTTGCCAGATTAAATTGCATGTGATATGTGGTGTATCTGAGCTCTCGATAACTTCACGTTTAAATTACAGTTCTCATTCTGCAAAATGAATTTAGGGAAATTTCATAACTATTGCATGGCAATTTTTATTAATGGCCACATTTTCTCCTGAGCATCTGTAAAGCTTGCAGCTTCTTGTCTTTGAGTCTGTTTTTTTAAAGACCTGTAGTAGAAAATCTGGAGCGAGTGTGAAACCTTTCAAAGCAATTTTTAACAAATCAAGGTTTTGATGAAAGATTATTTTAAATTTATGTCTGACTTTGCAGTCATGGAACAAATTGACATCATGTACCTCCTGATATGATGTATGGAGAAGGACACAACACCACTTCTGTAGCATTCCTG